TCGATAGGAAGACAGATATTCAGAATATTCCCTTCGCAGAGGGATGGAATCGTGACACGCGAAAATTATAGAACAGCATTTCCTCTGTTTCTCCCGTTAAACGACAATCGAGAAGAATAAATATATACTACAATGTAAAATATTACTGGTCACTTTCTTTGCTATAATTTTTCTTACATTCAGCGAAGAGAAGATTAGATGTTTTAAAATGAAAATTTTAATTAATATCAAACAAGATGTCGTGTGATTGGATTTTATGATATTATATATTGGATTTTGCTTGAAAATATTACTATAATATATTACAGTATAATATAATATATTATATTACAGTATATAATATAATATAATGATATATAATAATATATAATAATAAAGTAATATAATATAATATATTACAACGTATTATAGTAATATTACTGTAATATTAAAATTATTTCACATATAATACGACACAGCATAATATACTGTTACATTTACTTTGAAAATGGTAAAAGTTCTTCTTTTGCTCCAAGGAACTGAAACTTTCATGTTTAAGTCGATAACAATAAGAAGTAAGAATCGATAATTAAGCACGTAAATAAAATCTTTCATCAAGTGAAATGCAATGGAAATTTTATGACGAGAATGTACCTTTGGCAACGAAACACATCATCAAACGCGTCGAGGGCATATCGATTTCCCATGGAAAGTAAAAAGTGAAAACGTATGTCATGGGGGAAACGTGACACAAAGCGATGGAAATCAATATGCCAAGCTGGCACAATGAACACGAGGATCCCGACCTTCGTCACGCGGTGCAAATAACTAATAATTACACGTGTTGTATGAATTACAATAAATTAATAAATAATACTGTGCCTTCTATTTACAAGTTGTGCCTCAGATTGGTACACATCATTGTATAATATTCATAAACTGATAATTAGAAAGAAAGAATTTCTTGATATTTACGTGACGATCCACAAAAATACATGGTGTGTTACCTTCGCTGGTTTATATAAACAAATTCCAGTCAGTTTGACAAACTTATCGGATCACCTCTTCCTAGGCGCATGTAACTGAATTTACTAGAAACCTACGTGCATGTTCAGAAACGTGACTAAAAACTTGTATTATTAGGTCATTCAGAATCTAGATCATAAGAACCAGTTAAAAACTTATAGAATAAACTAACGCCATGGAACTTTTTCCCTTTTACAAAGGAGGAACGACGATATTAAGAAAAAATAATTCACAATAAAGTTTCAATTTTCCAAAACATAATCAGAATCAGTAATACACATATCAAGAAAAAAATTGTGCATACTGTGCATGAATTGTAACAGGTTATCAAGTATTAACATCACGCTGAAAGATTCGCCGTTTTTGTTTTCTTCCTTTTTTCTTTTACTTTCTTTTCTATCCTGCAGAAACGTAACTTTTGCAAGGAATGAAAGACCGTGATGTACGAAAACGCTGTGTTTAACAACTGAAACGCACAGGACAAACAATTACAATACGCACTTTGTTCGCTCGTACGTTTTGACATGTTGAGAAAATGCAGTCGTGTTACCGTGCATAGACCCTCGTGCGACGCGATGAACAAATTACCCTTGGAGAAGCAGCAGCTCTTCAAACTTTGCCGCAAAATCATCAAATACATTTTTTGAGCTTCGAGGGGGATTCTGTACCAATACGAATTGTATCTGAAATTTATCTCTCCTTTAAAAAGAAATATGTCTTCAAATGACTAACTTATGTTTCTGTCTCTAGATTTCTCTCTTCGGATTTCATCAAGGACAAGTTTATTTTAACGAAAAGTGTAATTTCCCTCGAATGATTTTTCCCGCGGATTTTCATGCAGTTAAGCAACATCCAGAATGCGTGTAATACGGGAAGATATAGAAGATATTCGAGATAAAAAGCAATTGTAATGCGTAAAAATGATTAGAGGTAATAACTCATTGAGGATATTCTGATTAGATAAAGATCGAATACTTACGCCTCGTAGAAGACGTTTGAACTGTGATCGATTAATCTTTGGCCGAAGAATGTCGATGATACTCCAAAAAAAAGAAAGCTACACGTAACAGCGTTTATCAGAAACATCGCTTGCCAGTCGTCCTTTATTTCCATCGATTTATACATCTAATTTAATAATGTTTCAGATTTCATTATTTGAACCTTCGCGTCCAATTGGTTAGTGACACAAAGGACAAAAAAGTTGTTCACAGCTTTTCTTGAAAATCGCTCTGATATTATAAATAGATATTACAAAAAACAAATAATATAACAGTAAATAGTTTTCTGTATAATTTTCATTTCTAACTGATCTACAATTTTCAACTGATTTTCTAAAATTCGGCATTTAATTAAATAGTCTCTCACTCTCGAAGATCATTAACTATAAATAAATTCATGTCTCTTCTGCGTAACTTTCATCTCTACTTCATCTATAATATCCTACTGGTTTTCTAGAATTCAGTGAACTTAATTAAATTTTTCTCATTTTCGAAAATCACTCGGATATTATAAATAAATATTAAAAACGAAGAATAATAATTCTATTTCTGTTTAATAATTCTATTATTCCGAGTTTTATTTCTAATTTACTTACAATAATCAATTGATCTTCTGAAATTCCGCACTTGACAAATTATGGCCAATTTACGACTAAATAATTAAAAAATTAGATTCGTCTGAATGAATTCGACTGCAATGAAAGTTGAACGTTACTCACGCCCACGGCGCTCGTGCTTAAAGCGGCGATGACACAA